GTAAAGTTGTAAGAGGGAAATCGCCATTTTTTTTATCTATATTCCTCATCATGGTAGATCTCGACAGCTTGTTCCACCTGTGGGACATTGGTTTTGATCAGATATAATATGTAAGAATATACTGCCACAGAACAAGACACAGCATAAACAACAGCTGGATTAGCATAGCATGTGAAGTTGTGGTAGGTCCTTGAATCATAAGTGTATAGAATATGGATGCACCAGGCACCATTGTGGGTCCAAAACATAGGTTATATCATATAAAAAGAATAAAATAACAAAGTCCCCACCATAAATCAAATCTCTATCTATTTGCTTCACCATTTTCACATCTTCCTTTTTCTTTATTCTGTTTTCTGCTTTTACACATGTTCTTTAGTTTTCCAGCTGCCAGCAATTTGTGTACATATGTATTGTCTAGATTTTGTTCTTCCATAATCAAGTATTACCAATTATTTAAGCTCAAGGGGGAAAAGAGTAAACAGTCAGAGTCATTCAATTAAATGGTAGGTAAGCCAGCTTGGATGGAGACCTCATAACAACTAATAAGAAAGAACAGTACAACCAAAAAAGCAGACCAACTCAAGTGATACTTATGTTCTAAGGGACCGTTTGACTCTGGTAATCAAAAGAACAGGAAAAATTGAATTTAGAGTACCTGAGACAGAATGCAGAGGAGGGATTGCACATGGTTACGCGAAATGGAATCGCCAATGAAGGCCCAGGATTTGTCCCTCATATAATCAAGAAACCTCTCTGGATCAAACCGGGGCAATTCACAGTCCCGGGGATTCCACCTCCAGTAAAGGTAGCCTGAATCCGGCCGGCCATTCTTCATACAATTTTGGTGAGATTCAATGACATGGCAGCTTGCATTAGTGTAAACGGAGCCAGATGGGTCAGGCACCCAATCTCCAATAAATAGATCACACTGAACTTTAACTGCAATTTGAGTTTATAGCATAGATTAGTCTCTAAAAACAAAAATTGGAGATTGCTAAGGCCTAAAAAAATAAAAAATAAAAAATTGCTGGAGGTTGCTGGAGACACAAGCAAGTAATCATTATCAAAAGCAATACTTACTGTTAATATAATTATAATAAGACTTGTGTGCTCCAAAACACAGATTTTAAACCATTTATTTTGCAACAAAAGCTCCTAAATTTGACTTCAAATCTAAAACTACCAACCAACAACACATTGACAATGGGGATTTCTGCAAATCTAAGAATCAAGTCCATTCCACCCAACTCAAAGTAATTTATTTATTTATAAAAAAAAAAAGGAAACCAACCTCAAAGGTCCCTAATTGAATTGCATTACGCAGAAAATTTTAATGAAAAAAGAGTACCATCATTCTACGCTTAATTGGAGTTTATGGGCAAGCAAGAATACCCAATTCTTGAATTTCACAAATTCATTGCAAAATACGTACAAAAACCAAAAACCAAACAAATAATCGAAAATCCTTACCATTTTGAGTGGGTTGGCTTTCATAGGCGAGAAAGTCCTCAGAAACCGGAGGCTGAACAGGCGGAAGAGAGTGGGCAACGGCGGTTTGGGTGTCTAGAAGAGGCGGTGTCTCCACCACCGATGAAGAAGAAGAAACGGAGAGGGGATCAGAGACGAAGAGGCGGAAAGCAAGGCCTACCAAGAGGAAAGAGATTGCAAACTTTACAAAGACATGATTGCATTGTTTGTGCAGTGATGATGGCTTCATCCTCTCACCCTTGAAAATTCGGACAAGACAAGATTGAAACAAAAACTTGAACTGATTTTATTGCAACCACCCAACAAACAGTTCGTAGTTAATTTTAGGTGAGAAGAGGGGAGTGTTGTGTTAAATGTTGGAAGCGAAGGACGTGCCTACTCTATGTTACTCCTAAGAAACGAATATTGATCCATTTCTCTTTCTGGTGATTTGATTCTGAGGACTAATTAGATTATGTTTTATTTATTATTTATTTATGGTTGGTTATTTCTTTTAGAAAATATTATAGTGCAGAGTGATCTGCCCTCTAATAATATATTTCTTTTATTAGAGATACAACTGTTATAGGTAATATTATTTTATATCATCATGCATCAGTCAAAGGTTAGATTTCTTTGTAAAGAAACTTAGTCTTATAAATAAAAGGGTTGTATAC